CCACATCACCCTGCTCACACTGTTGGGCAAAGAAACACAGAGATCCTCCCAGAGTTATCTCATTTGGCCTCACCCTTGTTGCTGGGATGCCTGGAGGGACCTGGGCTGGGTCATCACCCTGTCACCTCCCTGTCATCACAGAGCAGCACCTCCCAGTCCATGCTGCCTCACTCCACTGGTGCTTTCCTTTCCAGAAAGGCTATTTTGTCACCATGAAGGTGCTTTACACCTGTGGCTACTCCACGTCCCTGGCAGCCCTGCTCTTGGCCATCGGCATCTTCTCCTGCTTCAGGTGGGGCTCAGTCCTGGCTGCTCCTGGGGTGCAGCTGGAGCAGCACAGGGTAAATCTTCAGCAGGGGATGCTGCCCTCAGGCTCTGCCCTCCCTGAGCAGCCAAGCTCCATCCCTGCCAACATGGACAACCAGGGCAGCATGAGAGGAACAGCAGCTTTGTCCTTCCCTGCTGACGCACAGACTCGAAACCCTCAGGTTGCCCTTTCAAGCTTTGCTTTTGCAGACCTCACTGTGCTCTCTGGAGGTGGTTGAGGATGTTCCCTGGCGCACCTTGTCCCTGGGCAGCAGCTTCAGGCACAGCACAGCACTGTTCTTCCTGATTTCAGAGCAGGAAATCCTTCTCCAGGGCTTTGTGTTGAGAAGACCACATGGTCCCTGGGCTGGGCTCCCACCAGGGAAGGGGATATTAGAGGGGAAGTTCCTCTGCCCCTTGGCTGTCTGTGCTCCTCCCTGGGCACAGAACATCTCTTCCTCCCCTAGGAAGCTGCACTGCACCAGGAACTCCATCCACATCCACTTCTTCACCTCCTTCATACTGCGTGGGGCTGCTGTGTTCATCAAGGACACCATCCTCTTCTCGGACGAGTCCATCGACCACTGCACAATGTCAACAGTAAGACACCCGAGTCCCAGCCTGGGCAAGGTGCAGGGAGGGCAACATGAGATTATTTGGAAGAGTGTGAGTGGGTTTGGAAGGGATTTAGCACTGCAAGAGGAGAGAGAGAGGCTGGGAGCCTGGGGAGGACACTCTGCCTTGGGAGGACTTCAGGAAGACCATCCTCTGTGCCCCCAGGACAGGGTCTGGTGCCATCCAGCACTCTGAGCCTCCCCTTTCCTCACCCTTGCAGGTGAACTGCAAAGCAGCCATCGTCTTCTTCCAGTACTCGGTCCTGGCCAACTTCTACTGGCTGCTGGTGGAGGGGCTGTACCTGCAGACCCTGCTGCTGCTCACCTTCACCTCCGACAGGAGGTACATCTGGTGGTACATCCTCATCGGCTGGGGTGAGTGTGGGGCCATCAACCCCTGCAGGAGGCCCCCACTGATGGGCCAGGGGCAGGAACCACCTGCAGGGGCTGCCTGCTCTGCCCCCCAGCTGGCCAGAGCTCCACAGCCAAGATGGGCCTCGTGGTGCTCTCAGCACACCCCCCTCAGCCCCAAATCTCTCTGCATGGCCTCGTGCTGGCTGGGGCACCTGCCAGCCCCTGCAGCTGGTTGGGAAGCGTGACCTGATCCAGGACAGGTCCTCCCTTCTTCCCACATCCACCTGGAGTTGGAAACCCCGATCCCAGGTACCCAGGTTGGATGTAAGAGCAGATGTGGGAGCAGAGGGGTTGCCAGGAGGTGACACACACACACAGATAAGAAGTGTCACCACCAGTGGGAACCATCTCCATTTATACCTGGAGAAGATGGAAAGGTTGTCACCTTCCTGCCACATCCAGGGGTCCAGACATGACCAGGGCACGTGGGTTTGGAGACGAGGGAGGGAGAGGTGGTACGAGGCACTGGGGAGACTCGACGTCCCTGCCTGTCCTGTCCCTGCAGGTGTCCCCATGGTGACAGTCGCCGTGTGGGTGGTCACCAGGCTGCAGTATGACAACCACGGGTAGGAGCAGACACCTCTCTTCCTTCTCCAGGCCAGCTCAGCCACGTGTCCCCCACCCAAGTCCTGGGGGATGAACCTCTTGCATGGGAGGCTCAGGAGGGGAGAACTGGGCCAGGGCTTTATTTTAATGCTGTTTCTAAGTGGATCCTGTGAGCAAAGGGGGGCGTGGGGCTGGTCAAAGGGGTGGCAGGATGATGCCTGGGCTACGAGGGTCCAAGTGGGTGGCAGAGCCATTTCTCCTCTCCCGTAGGTGCTGGGATGATTACACCAGCCTGTACTGGTGGGTGATCAAGGCTCCCATCCTCCTGGCCATATTCGTGAGTGTGTCCTCTGAGAATCCCAGAGCTGGGAGGGGGGAGGGGGTCCCATATGGAGAGGGGGAACCAAGCAGGGAGCTGGAACCAGCAGAGCCTGAGACGTGGCTTCCCATGGCAGGTGAACTTCCTCATCTTCCTCAATGTCACCAGGATGTTGGCACAGAAGATCCGGTCCCCAGATATCAGCAAAAACTACAAGCAGCAGTACATGTAAGGGCTACAAAGGGGGGGTTGTCCTCACCTTGTTTTCTGGGGGTCCAAGGGCAGCAGGGACCCCCTCCCTGGAAGGGCACAGAGAAGGAACACCTAAGGAGGCTCCGAGACCTGCCTTTCACAGAGAACCTGCTTGTGGTTAAACCCAAGCTCTTGGGAAGGTCTCACGGGGCAGCAGGACCTCCCAGGCTGCCCCTGATGCCACCACTCCCTGCAGGAGGCTGACCAAGTCCACGCTGCTCCTCATCCCTCTCTTCGGGGTGCACTACGTGGTGTTCGCGCTCTTCCCTGAGCACGTCGGCGTCGATGCCCGCCTGTACTTCGAGCTGGTCCTCGGCTCCTACCAGGTGCAGGCTGGGGGAGATGGGGAGGCCAAGTGCCCCTTGTACCCATCCCATCCCAGAATCACAGCAGGAGCCCCCTGGGATGTGCTGCTGGGGCTTCACGCTGTTTTGAGAGGGGACTGTGTCACCCCTTTAAACGCAGGGGTTGTGTCCTGGTGAACCACTTGCACCGATCCCCTGCTGCCTGGGGGATGGGGGAAGAGCTGTGGGAGGATGTTAAGTGCAGGCAGCAGATGAGCACAGAGGGGTCCAACCCCTTTTCCCTGGGTGAAACTTGCTGTTCCTGTCCTTCCCAGGGGTTCCTGGTGGCTCTGCTGTACTGTTTCCTGAACGGGGAGGTGAGTGTGTGTCCCCCAGCACCCATCCCTGGGCTCTGTAGCTGTCTGGGCACACAGAGGGTGCACAGAGACCCCTGAGGGTGCAGCAAAGCCAGGCCTGTGTTCACACATGGGCATGATGGAGATCCCCACCCTCCTGCACCCCAAATCCCTGTAGAGCCCTTGGAGCTCCTGCCCTTCCAGTGGGCGCTGGCAGCTGTCCCTGAGTGCCAGCACCACCCCTGGTGTTGGTTCAGGTCCAGGCTGAGATCAAGAGGAACTGGGGCAAGTGGCAGTTGTCCATGGAAAGCAACGTCTTCAACCTGGTGACCCAGGACTTCACAGCATGACGAGGACAGCGTTTGGGGTGGAAACACCTCCTCAGGGTGGTGGTGGTGGTGGGGGGGGTGCAGCTCCATGACTACAGCCCCAGAAAGACCAAAAGAAAAAAGGGTTTGGGATGTTCTGGGTCTGGTATCCTCAGAGGGTGGTGTGAATGGCTGTAGGGAAGGCTCTGCCTGCTGAGGTGCTGGTGGCACTCACGGCTAAAGCTCTCTTTGGGGTTTGGTCAGAATTTTAGGCAAAGCAAAGAGAACTTCTCTGCTCTTCTGCCCCAAGACCTGGCAGGAAACACAACTATCATTTCACAAAGGGCAGTTGCTGTTTTTCATTTGCACTGGGATGAAAAGGGAAAAAAAACGGTCCTGACACTGAAGGCGGTTTTTGATGGCTTGGTGTGCAAAACCATTTCCCTTATGGGAAGATGCCTAAATACAGCCAGGAGCCATTCTGAGGGTGGGAGAAGCAAATGCAGAGAGAGGCAAAGCCCCCCTACAAGAGTCCCCCAATGGCCTCATGACTCAGTTCCTCCCTGATGTCCAAAATGTTGCCGTTTCTCCCATGCCTGTTGATTCGAGTGGGGGATACATTCCACCGCTCCCTGGGCCTTTGCACTGAGGAATGGGACAGTTTGCAATCAGCAGGACTCACTGGCTTCACTGGAGACTCATTTTCCAGGGATAGCAAGTTCTGTGCCAATAAAACCTGTTCTGAGACCCAAGCACTTCTTTTCACAGGCTTGATTTTGCTCTACAAACCCAGCCTTGGTACCCCATCCCCCACCCTGTCCCCGAGGTGCTTCGTGTCCCCCCTCGGGGCTGGAGGGGTGTCCGGGGAGGGGGGTGTTTTTCCTGGAGCCGGAGGGTGGCACTGCGGCCCCTCCGGAGGCACCGACATCGGACCGGGGTGTCATCGCCGGGAGCGCGGTGTCCCCGCACGGAGCGCCCGGGCACGGGCACAGCCGGGGTGGGGAGACCCGACCCATCCCGGGGTGCCAGCGCCCGGGGGCTCCAGCCTCCTGGAAGAACGCAGGGATTAAGGTAAGACACCGCACTGCTTTGGGGGGAATGCACATCCCAAGCTGGGGACCCCCAGGATCCCTCCCGACAGCCCTGGCTGGGGATGGGAATAGGGCTGAGGGCTGGGAACGCTGTGCCTCTGCCTGATGTTTCATTCCCTGCCTGCATCCCCTGCTCCTCCTGGGACTTCCAGGCCACCTTGCCTGGGTGCAGAGGGTGCCCTGTGCTTGCAGCCCCTCTTTCATCCCCGCTCCGGGAGGTTCCTGGCTCTGCAGCTTGGGGAATTCATGCTCCCCGTGCCCCGGCTCGCTGGGGCAGTTTGTTTCCTCCCTTCTTCCCTGTGCAGCCAGCTCCAACTCTGCCCAGCTCCTGCCTGCACAGAGACCAGCAGAGACTGGTGCCACAGAGCCCCAGGGATGCTGCCAGTCCCACGGTCCTGGCAGTGAAGGAGAGCCGGGGAGGGACTTTGGACAGGGGCCTGGAATGACAGGACAAGGGAGAACGGCTTCCTACTGACAGATGGCAGGGTTAGATGGGATATTGGGAAGAAATCCTTCCCTGAGAGGGTGGGCAGGCCCTGGCACAGGTTGCCCAGAGAAGCTGTGGCTGCCCCTGGATCCCTGGAAGTGTCCAAGGCCAGGTTGGACGGGGCTTGGAGCAACCTGGGCTGGTGGAAGGTGTCCCTGCCCATGGCAGGGGAGTGGAATGAGATGGTCTTTAAGGTCCCTTCCAACCCAAACCATTCTGGGATTCCGGGATTCCATGATGCATCCAGCATCCCAAGCCCAGGTACCTCAAACACTGTAGGGTCCCTCAGGCTTATCCCACCCCGTCACACCAAGAATCCATCTTTCCCACCCAAATTCATGTCATGAGCACCTCTGGGTACCCCAGGCTCCCATTCCTGTGCAGAGGGACAGGAGCAGTGCCCTTGTGCCCCCTCAGTTCTGGGCTGAGCACCCTGGGGTGCCCCCAGAAGGGAAGGAGCCACATTCCCGAGTTTCCACACTCCTGTGCCTCATTCCAGATTTCTCTGGGCTTTAGGCAAAGTAAAAACAGGCATGTGCAAGCTATCACAGGCTTCCCAGTGGTGACAAGGCTGGGCTTGGGGCAGCTGCAGCTGCTGGAACCCACCAAACTTCCTCTGAATTTCCTGCTGCAACCAACGGAGCAAATGGAAAGTCCCCACAGTCACAGCAGGAGGATGTTCCCTGTTCCCTCCTCTCCTCACCAGCCAAAACTACTGACCCCTGGATGTATAGGGGATGTTCTTTTCCCATGGATAGGAGCTGTTGCTTTGCTGCTGAGCTCCCAACAGGCTCCTGGTGCAATCCCTGCCTTGCAGCAATCCCCTGGGAGCTGACATGGGGCTCTCTTCACTCCCTCCTTCCCTTGGCTTTTTCCACTCTGAGCCTGGCTGAGGCTCCCAGTCAGCAAGAAGAGCCCTGGGGTTGGTTTTTAGCCGAAGAAATCGAAGTTACACCTCCCAAAGCACACCTTTGGCATCCCCTGTGCAGAGCTGATTCTCCACCACCTCTCTCCCAGAAGCCAAACCTGGGCTCCTGCGCTGCCTCCTTATTCACACAGTCATGAAGAGAAAAGGAAAGTTATTTTGAGAAGCAGAACTGAGCTTGGGAACTTCACTTCCCAGCTCCCTGGGTGCTCAGGTGTGCAGTCTTGGCCCTGGTTTTATGGATTGTGTAGGATTGTGTTTTATGGATTGTGTCAGAGCCCCAGGGTGAGGGGCTGGAGGCAGGGAAGGGAATTGCCTCGGGAAATCAGCAGGGAGGGATGGCAGGCTAGGGAGGAGAGCTGCTGCAGCTCCACCAAAGCCCACACCAGCTTGGAAAGTTCCCGTGGGGTGTTTTGGGACAGCAGAAGGGACACAGACAGGGGTGTTGATGACCCCGAGTGGCTCTGGCCGTCCCAGCCGTGGGATGCTCCTGGTGTGGTAAGGAATGTGGTTCTGATGAAAGAGGGTGGGTATGGGGGGGATGGAGAAAAGACTGACAGACACCCCTCGTGTGCAGGCCAGAGGAGGAACCACAGGTGGTGCAGGGTGCTGCACAATGGGAATAACGTTCCCAAAGAGCCGCGGGCTCGGAGACAACGTTGGCAGCGGGGTTGGCACCGACTGTCCCCCACCCCCCCCGCCCTCGCAGTTGTCCCGCCGCTCTTCCCAGTTGCCTGTCACTGCTGGGAGAGACCGGCGGGGAGGTGCTGGCCAGGGTCGCCTCCACCTCCCCTCCAGCTCCCAGTCCACCGTCCCATCTGGTGCCGCAGCCAGCCCAGAGCCACCTCCACAGCTGGGACACCGCGACCCCGGGCCGGGAGCATGGCCGGGGTGGGTACGGGGCAGGGGGGTCCCGTCGGGCAGGACCCCCGGAGCCCCGGGAGATGGGGCTGCGGGGGCTGCGGGCGCCGCCGGCCCCGTGATTGGCGAGGGGGGGCGAACTCCACAGCTGAGACGGGCCGAGGCTACCTGAAGGACCCCGCATGTCCTCAGGTTTCACTCATGACCATCTGACAGCAGCGGCAGCTGCTCTGCCAACAGGCACTCGCGGAGCCAAAGCCTCCTCCAGGAGTCGGAGGAGAGGGAAATTTCTGGCCCTAAAAGGTCTCTCCTTGGGATTTCGCTCTCTCTCCACCCAACAGTAAGTACTGGGTTAGGCCCTGGGCTGCTGCCTGGTCACCCGGGCAGGGTCCACGGGGGCTTGGATGTCCCCAGGTTTGCCATTCTCGCTGTGCCTGCAGCGGTGTAAGCAACGCCTGGGGCTTTGCAGCCCGAGTGCCCCCCGAGGACACCCCCCCCGAGTCGCTGGGGTGGTATTTAGGGCTGTAGGCACCTGCTGGACCCCCCCTGCGTGGAAAACAACCCGTGAGAGGGGAGAAAGTCCCCTCAAAGATGCAGGCGGGGCAGGGGGAGGAGGGTGCCAGCAGCCAGGGGACCCTCAGTGGCCACTGACCTGTGCCAGGACGAGAGGGGACGGTCAGGGACGTGACGGGCGAGCGGTTTCTGAGCCACCTTCCCACCCGGAGCGAGGGAGCTCCAGGCAGGGCTTAAAAGTCGCAAGTCTCCTTTCTCCTGGCTTCTCCTCCTGGAGGGCTAAATATAAACCTCGCCTTGGCCAAGCCAAGGTTGCAGGAAAGGTCTGCGGGTGCTTCGTGGTGTCTCCTTTTGGGAAGGCACCTGTCCCTGCAGAGCCACTGTCCCCCCGTGGGGCGGCAGGGAGGGACCCCCGTGGGGAGAAGGGGAGGAGTGGGATCCCTCTGCCGTGCTGGAATGGCACTGATGGGATGGTACAGAGGTTTGGAGGCCTTTCACCCCCACGAGGGCTTGCAGGGGCACAGGCACAGCCTGAAGATTTGGGGTGCTGGGGGGACGGGATGAGCCCAATGTGGGGTTCAGGGCTCGTGTCCTCCCATGGGATGCAGAAAAACAGGCAGTGCCAGGGTGGGGTATGAATTTTTGGGTGCTCTGTTCCCCCCCATGTGGCTGTGGCTGTGCTGGCTTCCATCACTCGCTGCACGGGCAGGAACCACTGGGCACCTTGGGGCATTCTGGGGTTTATCCAGGGGCAATCAGCCCCCCTGACCCCCCCAGCCCTCACTGCTCCCTCACTCCACAGGGCTGGGGCTGAGTTGCAGAGTGAAGTTTGCAGATAAGCACAAGCATTTCCTCCCCTGCCCACACTGCCGCTGATGGAGTTGTCAGGGATCAGCCTGGGAATGTGGCAGGCGAAGGATTGAACTTCAGGGAGGCCACAACTCCATAAAGCCTTGGGAACAGAAGGAAATCCCAGTCGGCCCCATCATACAGGAGAGGGCCTGAGCGGACTGATGTGCAGGAACTGCCTCCTCCAGTCCTTGCCAGGAAAATGCCTGATTCATAATGGTTTTGGGGCCAAAAGACCGTATTTACAGGAACTGGTTAAAGAGCACAAAGTCCTGCCTTGACTCTTCAGTGCTAATATTTAAATAGCATTTTTGTTTTCTGATGTGGGCGGAAGGGTCCAGGTCAGAACAGAAGGGCTCTGTGGAGCCTCGTGGTCAGCTCCCACTTCACTCAGTCAGATTTGCTGGATTTGGGGTAGGACAGCATGCGGCAGCGGGTCAGGAAGAGGAATCCATCATCGTTTCTGTTTCCAGGTTGGACTAATGAGGTCGTTTCTGTGC